ACCTGGTCAGCATACTTAGCAGTAAGAGCTCTGTCATTAGGATTGTATGTTTGCTAGTTCAGGTCACTTAACACTTTAACACATCACTGTCTCTTCTCTTCCCTCCTTCAGCCCTGTGAGTGGACACAGTTTAGGTAACAAGGTTTACGGTATATGGTCCACAGGGCTTATGGTGCCCATGGGAGAACGCTGGCACAGAGTAATGGCTAGTGAAGTATTGAGCTTTTTTTTTCCTGTTGTATTTTGAAATTAAATAGTCATTTAGATTCCCCAAAGTTTAACACAACTTTTTACTGTTAATTGGTAGGCATGCAGGTGTTGTGCCTGAATGCTAATGGAGCAGTAACAATGACATGCTAATGGCTTTTTCTGGTATGGAGGAATAGTGTGGAATAGGGATTTTTTAAGTCAACCCAGTAAACCTATTTCATTCAGGATAAGATTAATCTTAAAATGCTTGCTCTTGAGCATAGAATTAAGTCAAATGGACTACAGGTATTTTTCTAAGACAGATGTGTTTCAGTAATGATAGTTACTTAAATATCCAAGTGACTGACAGGATTTCATTGTGATACAATGAAGGTCTTGGCAGTATAGATGAACATAAAAGTTCTTTCTTCCCAATGACATCTTTCCAATAATAATTAATATTTTTTTACTGATGTCTTGGAAAATTAACAAGATTCTTCCTTTTGACCTTTTTACGTCTTCTGTCCAGAGCTGTTCTTTTTCACCTGTTGACAGAGTAGGTGATACAGTCTGACATGGAAATCCCTGAAATGTCACAATTTGCGTACATTATGAGGAATGAAAAAAAATGGCTCTCAAGTGCCATTTCCTTAATCTTTAGAAATAAACATGAAATACTTAACTTTACATCGAATAGTGATTTCAGCTCATCATGTTGGAAATCTTCCTGAAACTTAGGAGTGATGCAACAAAGTAATGACACAAAATATAATAACACCAAAGAGAGAATCTGGTATCAGGACATATTTTTAACAGGAATTTTGTTGCAGTTGCTTATGCACAATTTAGTAGACCTTTTTCCCTATTCTCTTTTCTCTATTTCCACTACAGATAATAATTTTGGGACATTAATACCCAGTTGTATTTTTATCTTAGCTTTTGAAATAATAGGAAATTTTACAGGAAGGGACCTCAAAAGACTATTTAGTCCTTGATTTATCATTTGCTTATGACTGAGGGATTACTTAAGCTTTTTGGAAAAGCTTGTCTTATTGCTATTGCCAGATGGAGGAACTTAGAAAATACCTTAGGTAAACAAAATACTAAAATCAGTAATTTTTTAACTCTTAAATTACACTGAGTTGCATTAAATTGTCTTTAATGATAGCAGAAATTATTAAAAAGCACTGATATTCTCTTGGATTTGCATCTTTCAAAATGACAGGTATCAATAGCAGTTGGGAATCTGGAATTAATTCTCATGTCTCACTGGCTGCAGTGGTCTTTGGCGTGTAGGTTGAAGAACACTAATGACTGTCTGAACTACAGTCAACTTACCAGATGAAGGAAAAGCTGAAGGAAAAACACAATAAATGTAAAAATATATGCCATCTGTCTGTCTAGTATATATAAAAGATATTTGTGAGTTAGGCTAGAAAAGCATAGTACTTTCATGTATGAAAATTATGTAGGTTTTTTTTGTTGTTGTTGTTGTTGTTGTTTTTTTTTTAAAAAGCAGAGTTAGGATGTGACTTGGTGCAGTTGCCATGAGTTCTGCATTACATACTGCAGTGTTTAGGTATTGACAGAGCTTTTTTATTGTATTATATTATATTATATTATATAATTATTATATTAAGGTACATCTTGGGTAACCTAGCTATTTGTCTACCAGTCCTTGAGAACCTCCAGCAATTCTATAGGTTCTTTATGTAATTTTTTAACTGTATGTAACAGTTAAGCTAGAGATTAAGGAAAAAAAAAACCAAAAAAAGGCAATTTTCTTGCTGCAATTAAAACCTATTGCCTCTTGCTCTGTACTTAGTGAATATGAAAAGCAATTGCTGTATTTTTATTTTGGTTAATTGTATGTATTTGGAAATTCTCCCTCATCTTTTTGACGATAAATAAGTCCAGTTCTCCCAATGTTTTTCTTTTATGCCATCTCATTAATTTCCTCATCATTTTTTTTCCTCTCCTCTGAATTCATTCTAGTTATTCAGTGTCTGTATTTGGGACGCACATTTTAAAAAAGACACCATAATTAAGCTTAATTTTCATTAGTGCTCAGTAGAACAGGAAGACTCTTACGTATTTTTTCTGTGAAGTTACTGATTATACATTCAAGTGTGCTAGCTTACTGAATTGCTTTTACAATAGCATGACATTTTGGCCATTTCTGGCTTGAGAATCACTAATTCTTTACAGGCACATGTGAATATATGTGCTGGGATACACACACATTTTCTGCTACTGACCTTGTTATCTTTTAGGTGCTTATAAATGCATTTATTTATTTATGCTCAAATAATTCTGTGGAAAATGAAGGCCGGCTGGCTAATAGCTTTGACCTTTTATCCTTTGTAAAGATAGGTACTACACTTTGTTTTTCATTCCATGGAACTTTACCAATCCTCTGTGACTTCTGAGAAATTAATACTAATAACTGGTGGCTGCTGCTAATTTCTGAAATACTGTGATGTTTTTTATCAGGCCTGTTTAGTTTGAAAGCATCTACTGCATTCAGGAAATATCTAAAATAATAGGAAGTTGTCTCAATAGTAGTCTTCCTCTGTTTTTCAGTGATTAAGGAGCCAAATGTTAATATCATTATTGTTTTTTATATAGTTAATGTGTTGAAAGAAAAGGAGAGTGAACATACATACTTAGAGCTACACTGATTTTAGTAGAAATTTCAAATAAAAGTAGCTAGCTAATTGTAAGGTGGTATTTACATTTGTTCCCCATAGGGAGAAGCTTGCCTGTCATGCATACGTTTGAAATTCAACATGCTCAATCATTGTCTATCTTTGCATGCTGGGAAGTTAGTGTCATTTCCTAGTGATCTGATATCGTTCTTGCATATTGGTCTAGCAGTTCTTGATTTACATTCTAATGCTTCATCTGTCATAACCCACACATCAGAACTGACCTCCAGGCTTATGGCAACATTTGGAAATTTGCAATTTTTTTTTTCTTTCCCTAGATGAGTAATTCAGCCTCTTTGTCACAGATGCAGAAACTTCCTTTAAAAAAAATATCAAGGGAGCTACTGTAAATGTTTTCCCTTATGCCAACTGGGAGTTCAATAGTATCCATTTGTACCACAGAAGGTTATTAAAGCTTTATAAATGAGTCATTTAAAGCTTGACTGACCTCTCTTCAGAATCCTTCCCTTCCCATTCTTTATAATTATATTCTTTCTGTATAAAACTTGTCATCATTAACCAGCTATATAACTTCCAATTAGGAAGCAAATACTGTTCCCCCATTCTTTTTCAAGACACAGTTTTATTAAGATCTGTTCACTGAAAGGGAAGGTTTTCTTTGTGTGGTAGTGAAAAGCCTATGGAGTGCATCAAATTTGGTTTAAATTTGTTGGAATCCTAATAAGCAGAACCTGATCTGCAAGCTGAAGGTCTGCAGAGGGATTTATCTTGATAAAATAAATTCATAGGAGACCTTTAGCTCTCTCCTGAACAAGTGCAATTCAGATGGAACAGAAGAAATTTAATTAAATTATCAGCTCATCTCAAAGCAAGGGCTTTTGCTTTTTTAATTTTCTTTCTTGATCTTATCAAGAAAATTAATGAATAAGAATGCAGTGGAACTACCTAGACAATGGAGGTAACATGCCTCTTGGTTAAGCTATTCCTGTATCTTAAGCAGAAACTGGAAATTAATCTTTTGTGTGACAGATTTAGACAGAATTGCGTATATTGGAATTTTGTGTTGGACACTGAATTGTGTTGGCACAATATTACAGAAAAATGCCAATTTCCCATCTCAGTAGGAATATGTGTGCGTCTTTCTGTTGGAGATACTAAACTGCATTTTTTAGTCATGCAGGGTTGCGTCTGATTACCCTTGATGGAGAAGAACTTGGGTTATATTGGGCAGGTTTCAGACATGGGTGGAAGGTTTTCACTTGCCTGTTTGTTCTCAGGTGTGAATTTTATCCCCCGTGATAAAGTCATGATCCTGTACAATTTCTTCTGTGCTGTAACAGCTATCAGCAGATTGACAACTTAGTTCTAACTGTAATGTAGTCAGCAGCCAACATACACTACTCCACTCTCTCAAGACAAAGTCACTTCTTCTGTCTACTGCCTTGAAGTCCAAGAGTTTTCCTATCTATCTTAGACCTAGTTCTTTGATGGATTGTTTATTTGCCATATCAAATCACCTTTCAGAACATTTGGTGAACAGCATCTAACACCTGAAGGATAGATGGCATCAGTGAACACTCCTGTAAGTCTCTGCCCTCTAATGGTACTGGTTTTTCTGTCCTTCACAAGTAATTTTTACCAGTATTGTTGTTCATAGTTTTCTCTTGTCAACTGAGCTTTGCTTGTGTCAGACTGAAAATTATACTGGGTGCTTTTCAAGGTAAATGGCACAGTAAACCTGGGAAATTTTATAGGATCATACTAGCTGAAATATTGCATCCTCAGCCTAACTGCTTTTGAAAGTTGAGCATCATTGCTTTTGAATCAAATTCCAAGATTATATTCTAGGAAGAAATGTGGTGGGGCTGGGACCTCTCTATTACATTAGCGTTAAGTAATACCTAGCGAAAGAAGACTGGGGTTTTAATTTCTTAGCACAAAGAAGTGAGATGAAAATAAGTTGAAGTAGACAACTTAAAAGAAAATAAATACCTTTTAGACAACAGAATTGGTGGTTGTTAAGGATCCTGTATTGCACTTGTAAGAGGTCTGCAGAGTGGCTGCAGTTTTATGTTGCTGTTACCAGCAAGTAACGGCTTGATGAGTATGAAATGGTGCATTCCTTCCTTATCTCTTTTGCAGAGAGGAGTCAGGATAGCACTGCAGCTGTGCTGTCTGACTCCAGTTCCACGCAGGATATGTTTAATGAGCCTGCCAGTTCTCAAGACAGCCTGAGGAAGACTTACACAGAGAAGAGGATTTCTACTACCTGTGCTGATACACTGATGCCCAGCAAAGAGACCCTGGGATCTACAGAGGAAAAGAGTATGCCTGATCTAATAATGTCAGCTGATATATTCTCATTAAAATGTTTCTTCTGGCAGGCAGAAGTACTGAAATACACTGCACTGTGACTGAGGATTTTAACTAGGCATTATTGCTGCATGTATGTGTGTAGCTTAAAATTGGAACTGTGCTTTGCTTATATGGCTGTCATCCCAATTTGTACTACCTGTTAAACCTTGCAAAGAAAAGAATAATGATAAACTGTTGTCTGTGGTGGCCCTTTGACTGGCTTGCCTTCTTTTAGGTTATTATTTACTCTTTTTTCAGTGTTTCACATCTCTGAATAATTTAAGTAGTTCTTTGAAGATAATCTCAAGCAAAACAGTTCTTTTTCTTTCCCCAGGTATATGTGCCCTTTTTGTTCTGGCCCATTAGCAGCTTGATATTTAGTACATAGAAGAGCACAAGTACTGGAATTAGATGTTTTATTCCATTGGATACTTTATTTCAGTGGAGAAGCAGAATTGCTCTCTACCAGATTTTTCCATGTATAATAGTACTAAGTGTTCTGTATTCCATGGGAAAAAGTGTTTCAAAATCCATTAGCTGGAATTTCCCTGTCTGATGTTTGTACAGTTGGATGTGGCAGTAGATAGAGAGGCTGGACTTCAGCAGGGAAAGACAAATAAGACCAATGTCTAAATTTTGCCCAGCTTTCCGGGTTGTGGCCCTTTGTAGGATGTTAAGTCTTTTTTGCCAGTTCACGCTACACTTTAGTCTTTTCCAATTTCATAGATCCAGAAACCATGGTATGTGGATAGCCCTGATTCACTTCACTGATCTCTCTCACTAGGAACAACTGCTGACTAGTGATCTTTTTGTTCACAGACTTGGATTAGCTTGTTTTCTTGTTTTTAAGAATATTTTACTTCAGTCTTGCCTAAGCTAGGGAATTCTGTGGTGGTGTTTGCATCAATATGGTGAAATAGATGCCAGTTCCTAGTTTTGTAAAGTAGTACTTACATAATCACTAAATCCAGTAATCTTTTGGGTACTAGACTAAAAACACGTCTCTCTTTCAGGCTTGCAGTGAGTTGTGTTATTGTCATCGGTTGTCTGTCAGAAAAACTGTGTTGAATGCATTCTTACATTACTAACATTTATTAGAACAAAAGTTGTATTTTTCCATAAAGCTATCTGTAGAGTAAAATTATAATGGACACATAGATTGTGCAAGTAAATTTTGAAAAATTTCTGTTCTGGAGAATATGTTTGACTCAAAGTTCAGCCTTATCAGAGAAAAAGTTAACAGGGCAGCTTTGTACTTGAGGATGAAGTATACTTTAGTATATCTGTAGCCTGCTAGGAGATAAGATCTAATGTAAGAGGCTCTTTATCCTAGCAAAGACAAAGACACAGTAAACTTCCATGACTAAAAATCAAAGGTAAAAAAATTAATCTGCATGTAGCGTGCATGTTTTCAGTAATAATGACTAGCTAACAGGAAACATGGAAGCTCTCACTGTGTCAGATGTTTTCTGAAGAAAGATTTGGTATCCTTCAAGAAAAGATGTCAATTGAGCCATGAGTTACCAAGTTAATCGCAAAAATATTTGGATGGAACTGTAGGTCCTACATTATCCAGAAGGCCAGGTTAGCTGCTGCTAATCATTCTGTCTAAGCCTAAATTGTGTTCTGGAATTGTGTTCTTCTGGGTAGATTGTTAAGAATAATAATACATTTCACTTGGCAGGATGGCTTTAATTTTCTGTTTCTTCTTCCTTTCTTTGCAATAGAATTTTACTGAATTTACACTTTCATGTTGTTGTTGTCCCCTTCCTCCCCCATCTTCCAACAGTATATAAAATCCTGCATTGTGTAAGGTGTGCTGATTTCTTACTACAGCTCAGGGAAAAACCCAAATAAAGACAATGGAGAGACCAGTGTGTGGCTCTGTTTGTTAATAAGCTGAAAGATTACTTATTCATTAAACATCAGGAATAGTCATCATTTTTTCAGGAACCACTCAATAATTCTGTCTATGCCATAATGAAGAAAAAGATTACCATTTGTTGTATTTAATTTTTGTCATTTTGTATATTTCATTTGCCATTTTGTCATTTTCATTGTCACTTTTGTCTTCTCTTAATGTTCCAGTTGCAGGAAAGTCAGAAGAGCTGCTGGAGAGCTCAGAATCTTACCATCCTGCTGAACCTACTGGCCAAAAAATTCTGGTGGATCCTCAGTCTGCCTCTGGCAATCCCATCAAAGCTGCAATCCCCCCACCCTCACAGTGGGACTGCAAAAAGAAAGCTGAACCTTGTGGAGATGCATCTGAATTTCCTCATGGTCTTCCAGCAGACCTTGAGGAACAGCGAAAGTTCCTGACAGAGCAGTGTATTGCCTCCTTCTGTTTGTGTCTCAGCCGCTTTCCCCAGCACTACAAGAGCCTCTACAGATTGGCATACCTGTACACATACAGCAAAACACACAAGGTAAGCAGACCATTAATACAAAGCTGACTAACTGTGTTTATTGCCGGAGTAAACAAACTGTATTGTCATTTGTACTAATTCAGAAATCTTAGTGTTAAAATACAGTAGGTAAGTTCGTTTAATGCAGTTTGGTTTGGAACTGTGCTCTGGAAAGTCTTCAGCTCCTAGGTTGTCCGATTCATGTGTGTAAGGCCAGTTGAGTAGAAAATTTCCTTTTTTATTGCTGAACTAAGTGATTTTTTGTAATTCAGCAGAGAATTACCTTTTAAATATGTCACATAAATTAAGATCTTCTTGTGAAAATGACAGCAATTATTTATTTTACTGAATAAGTGGACTGAAAAGTGACTTGGAAGCAGAAGTTCATCAGTATTGGTGTAAACACATCATGTGACACAGACTTTCTGGGTATCTTGGGTCTTTGTCTGTAGAATGAAAGTTTTCCTATTGTCAGAGCATAGAGGTCATCTTGAGTAAGAAAAATTTATTTACTGTTTAGAAATCACCAAGTGAAAGTCAGTCAGAGATCCTACTGCTCACAAGCCGGTGATTTTGGATTAAACAGGAATAACAATGTCTTGGTAACTGTAATAGTATCAGTTCCTATTCGAGGTCAGGGCAAAATAACTTGCTTCCTCCAGCATGACCCTTGCATATTCTTCATAATAAAATTAATTTCAAAAGCCTTCTGGTATGAATTATCATTGCTTTGGTTTTAAAATTACGTCATTCTTTATTTTGCTTCTGCATACTTCTGTTATTATAATCCTTTGTCTTTCTGAAGTATCAGTTAGTAAAATGCTTATGTATAGTATGTTGAAATTATCAGAATCATTTCACTGATTGTCATAATCAAGGTTTGAACTCACAGATTTCGTATTTGGAAGTCTTTTTTATGTCATATGCAGTGCTGCATGGCTTCCTGAATTCTCTTCTCCACCAGTACTGAAGCTTGTGTGAATAATAGGGAAGGGAAGGTAATGGAAACAAATCATACCCCTTGCCTCATAGTAGAAAAGCAATCAACAGTACTGCTGCAAATTGAGCAGTAGCATGTCTTACTGATCTGCTGAAAGGTGATGCATATTCCATTTGGCTGTACGGTGATTATTCAGAAAAATGTTACCATTTTTTTAAAGATAGCTTGTTTTGAAAACATTCTTATGCTGTTTGTATGTGACAGTTGTTAATTTTTCCATAGAGCTAATCATTAATAGGAGCCATAGATTCCTGCAATCTGTCATTACTGTTGCTGACAAATGATTTTGTGTTAACATTCAACAAAAACAGGCTGCCTGTTTTCAATTTATTGGTTCAAATAACATGTCCTTGCCTGAGGAACTACTTGCAAAATATTTTCTTCTTTTTTTTTTTCCTGATGAAGCCTTCTCTTTTGCTTTTTGTATCTCTCTTCTTATATAAATACCAACTTAACAATTTGTAATATTTTTCTGTATGAAATAGATGTTGTTGTCTAAACCTATCTCCTCTTGGAACTCAGAAAAACTGAATGTTGCCTGTTTGAGACTAGTAGTTACCAGGTTGGCTTCAACTAGCATTGTTGGGTTTTACTGTCCTTTTTTATTACTTCTCTGCATAACAAACAACTACTTAACACTGCAGAAAAAACTTCTGACTGATAGTGTACACTACATACTTTTATGAGGTTGTAATTTTCTTTCTTTGATGACTCATTCAGGTTCTTTTGTAGAGCAATGTCAAATGTCTGTGTTTTAATGGTACACTAATATGTCTCCAGTGGGAGTTATGCTCCTGAACAAATGTAAAACACAAAATGCATCTATGCATTTTCAGGAGTAACTGGAGTAAGAAGTATGCTTAGATATACTGATGATAAGCCTGATTTAAAAAACGAGATAAATTACATCAGGTTGAGTTGCTGTGGGGGAAGAGTGAATTACTGGTAAATTTTAGAAAGCTGAAATTAATTTTTAAATGCATATAACCATCTTGGAAAATTCAGCATTTATGTACCAGTGCCAGGAATTTGTATGAAGAATTTAGACTGATGGCCAAAATTCATGGTTGGCTGGGAAAGGAGAGGATTGGCAGGTCTCCATAGTGCATAGAAAAACAAGTTTTCCATATGCAATCTGTTTTCTCCCATTTTACAGGTTTTGCTGTTGTGGGATTAGTAAAAATAGTTGTTGAGTGCTTTTTTTAACATCTTTTCAAAATCTTTCAACATTTTGTTTGGCTATGTGTTCTGTTTTTTTTTCCCCCTGCAAAATTCTGCTTACTATTTGGACGCTATTTCTCTTTGTTTTATTCTGTTATCAGAGCAAATTTGTACATAGCTGTTTTTTGCTGGAATAAATGTGCAGGAAAGTGAGGATGAATTTTCAGAAGTTACTTCATTGCCATTTGCCAGTTTGGGCAGTAGTTTTAGCTTCCCATTCTCTGTCTTGAGGTAAAGTCTTACTCCTTTGTGATTTTTACCTCCAAAATGAGCGTTGGCACAGTTTGGAAGGAGAAGATAGGACTTGCCAAGATGCTGTTTGTCAGTATAACTAAAAAGTTTTGTGAAAAGTGTTTGCCTTATGGTCTTTATGGATCAGTATGTAGAACTGGTCTGATGGTCTGCCACCGCCAGATTGTCAGGAAATAAAAATATTTACCTACATGCTTTTTTTATCTTGAAATAAAAACCACTCTAAATCCCAGAAGAATCTGCTCACAGGTAGTTTGTATGACTTAAGTATTTTAAGTTTGTATCTTCTATTATGTGCATTATTAACAGAGCCCTTAATGGGGAAATTTGTCGGGTATGATATAACGTCAGTAGCATGACAGTTTAGTCAAACTAGGCATAATACATTCTTGTAAAAATTACAGGATTATATATATATGTATGTAGGTTTAATATATACTTGGAGACAGGCATAATCTGTAAGCATAATAGATATAAGCATTTCAAGTAGCAACAGTTTGATAGTTCATTCAGAAGGCTACTCTTCAAGGTCAGTAGTCTTTTTATTTTGCTTTTATTTGATGCAGTAGCACTAGGGGGTTTTTGACACAAAGCCTTCTAACAGAGTATAAAAGAAAACAGAGGGAAGGATTAAGGTATAACAGGATATTTTGTGCACCTCTCAGCAGCACTTCATGGAGTTTCCAAGTTAGGTAAAGGTGGCTTCTGACACTATCAAGTTAAGGGCTGACCATCTCGGGTGACTCAGATTTCCACTTGGTTGACCATAAGAGATTTTCCTTTTCCATTTTAACAACACTGGTAAACTTTTTTGCAAGTTATTGTACCCTGTCAGTCATCTTGTCTTTGAATCTTGGGGTGATAAAGATGTGGGAGGCAACAGCTGAAGTGGAAAGAGTACTTCATAATTGCCCTGAGTCAGACAGCCAAATCCAGCATTTCAGACTGGCAAGCAGTATGCCAAGAAGAATAAATCCTTTTTGCTATGTCCTGGATCCCTTCACCCACTCCTAATAACTTCATCAGCTAAAAACCAAGCAGAGCAGACTCTGAAATCTAATGAGTTGAGACCTGCTCAGGCATATTTACTGGGAATAACTGATCATGCTGATTTAGGGGAAGGGTAGTGGAAAATCTGTAACTATGTCTTTTATTCCTATTAGTTTTGATTGTGTGAAGTTACCATGTAATTGCCTCATTTGTCTGAATTATCTTTTTTCCTCCTAGCTAGGTTACTGTCATCATCTTGTTCAGTAAAAGCCTATGAATTATACGTACTGAATACATGTTATGGATGGTCAGTGTAATGTGCACAGCAATCACCAGAGCATGATGCTACACTTAATGATTTCTTAACATTTTCATTGTATAACTTAGATTCAGGAATACATCCCTAGCTAAAATTTGTTTAGACTGGGATTTTATATTTAAGCTTTGTAGTGGTAGCTTTCTTAAGGGTTTTGTTTTCCTTTAATTTTTATGTGATAGTTTTAACTGTAAGATTCAGATTGCCACACATTAGGCAGTTTTTTACTTCATTTTCACACTTGGAATTTACTTATGTTTCTGATGACTATGATTGGCATAAAATAAAGCATTTATGTGCCTGGATCTTGGACATTATGATAGGCTTATTTTTGCTGGATTCTGATTTTATTCAAAAAAGGATGACTTTCACAGAAGACCAGATTTTTGTAGGTTCTTTTCTGGTTTGTATTTTCTTCTGTACGTATTTCAAAGTATTTTGCAGGCTTAGGTTAACAGGATTACAGAAATACATGTTACAAATGAAATACCATAGGAAAAAGTTAGTATACAGTTAAGTTTATATACTTTGCTTGCTTCAATCTTAATTAAATTTGACACTCATTGATAATAATTAAATTTACTGGTTCCCCTGACTAGCCAGAAAGTGCCTGGTGATGTTTATGAGTGAACATCTTATTTGTTCCATACGAAAAAAAAATATCCAAATCCCCTCGACTGTCTTACACTATAATCATGAAGGTCCTGTATAAGTACCTACATCAGCTCTCTGAATGAAGGATTTTTGACATCCGTAAATATCTGGTTAGTATTTCCAGTGTTCAGTGCTCTTGCATATGAATCCATAATCAGCATTTTGCTAGAGGGGATGCTCTAATTCTGGTAAGACATTGGAGATTTGTGCACGATTACTGTCATTAGGACAAAAGCACTTAGGATTGAGCAGGGCTTTTACTGTTTCACCAGAGTCTTGTAAAGAAAATAATCTGGAAGACAGGGTCTAAGAACTTTGCTAATAACCCCCCCCCCAAAAAAAAAAAAAAAAAATTAAAACGGGAAAAACCTTCTGGGGGGGACGAAATTTAATCATTTATGATTCACAGAAGCATATTTCCAGCCCACAGAACACAAATCAGAATTCAACATTCTCATTTGTCTCTATGAACCAAACATCTCCCTCTTTATCTGCTCTGTAGTGAAGTTGTCTCTAAAAAAGCCAGTGTAATGCAACTCAAATGCTACTTTCTAATACTGAAATAAAAAATGAAGTAAACCAAAGCTTTCATCAGTGAAACCTTACAATTAATAATTGTCCCATCTGTTAGTAATGTTTTGCCTGGAGCCAACAGCTGTCCCTAGTTCTCAACTACACAAGAGATGTTCGTGCACTGAACTCTTAGAGGGGTGCTTTTATGAATTTTTGATTGTTGTCTATCATTTGGTCTCCTGCTGATACTTTCTTGTTAACTCATTGAGCGTTATTAACCAAATTTGATGACAGGCACGGAATTTTCCAGAGAGGTTAAGTGAAATTACATGGAGGGCAACGGCGGGGTAGAGGTAAAAGGCCTGAATGCACCACCCCACTAAAAGAAGGCTGCAGTTTAAGCCTAAAGGTGCCTCTTCTGCTAAGCCTGGGTGCTGGCAGCTATGCCTCACAGGTAGTTAGCTCTAGGAAAGAGCTGCGGGATGGCTTCCAGAGTGTGTGTGTGGGAGGAAACTGGAGGGACTGAGGGATAGGGGAGGGCTGGGGGAGGCAGTGAGGGGCCTTGTGTGTGGAGAAACGCTGCAGGATACCCAGGACAGCGAGTTCCACTGTTTGCTTAGAAACTTTATATTTTTATATATAAATTATTTTATATTGAGCATTAAAATTCAGCTTTTAAAAAAAAAATTAAGGTGTTTTAAATATACCTGTAGTTCAGGTTTCTGTAGGTGATAGGAGATGGAGGGTGGATCTCAATGAAATGAAGACAGGTTAAAAAAAAAGATGAGAAAGCAAAACTTGATGATAGGAAGCTGGATTCAGCAGCTGTAGGGGACTGACTAGTCTGCTGGGGCTGATCAGTCTGGATGCTTGCTCTGAGAAGCAAGCTGGCTTCTCTCTCCTGAGGGATGGCTTCTCCAAATCACATGCCTGTACAAATACTGTCGGAAGCAGCTATGTAGAAAATGAGAAATGACAATGCAGGTTAATAAATAAAAGCAAGCGAGCACTTTGTAGTTCTACCTGTGGTGGCCTTTCTGTCCCCTGCCTGCAACTCACCTACCCCGTTTTGTCCACAGAACCTGCAGTGGGCCCGCGACGTGCTGCTGGGCAGTGGGGTCCCCTGGCAGCAGCTGAAGCACATGCCTGCACAGGGCCTATTCTGCGAGAGGAACAAGACAAATTTCTTCAACGTAAGTTTATACAGCTGATAAACACACCCGTACTTTCTCAGCCATCATCTTAACACCTGTTTCTCATTTGAAAAGTTTGCAAAGGGAGGGCAATGTGAAATTCAGCAAAGGCGCATTAAACAAGCCATGAATGGCTAAAGGAAAGGCAGAATCGTATTACGGAGATATTTACTGGGATTTTCCTCTCTTGAAGGGAACCACTTTAGAAGGATTATTTTCGATGAGCTTGAAAACATGGGGAGACAAGCACCAACGTTTCTTAGTTATGCATCATTTACCATATACTTGATAGTTCAGCCCTCTATAAAAATTCTAATTCTGTTCATCTTAATTATCCTCTTGTTTACTGTTTCTCAACTAGACTTGCAATTCTCATGACAAAAAAATAGTGCTGGTTGCTCTAAGAAATTTCCAGAGTTGGAAGGAGCTTTCTTGTATTCAGCTTTTGTAGCGTGGCTAGCAGAAAGAGTATTTCCAAGACCAACAGTGTAGTAGCAGCACTGTCGTATAGATTGTCCCTGTGATTGTGATATCTTCTAGCCCACAGGGGTGTCTGTGCCACTCAGTGACATGGGACACAGAATACTTCTGAGACTTACATGAGCATTTATCTATCAAATTCCCTGCTGTGGTTACAACTTAAAACATTGATGTTGTCTCCCGTATCTCTGGCTTTTCTGTGGTATGTTCTAGGGTTTTGTGCCTTCTGCTCTTTTGTGATAGTATTCTGTAGCTGTTTTGTGGCTTGCAATGTGTGGTGAGAACCTGGAGATGTTATGTTTGTCTTTCTGGGCTGTGTAGCTGTTACATGGTTGCTTACGATGGCAGTGACAGAAGGTTATGTCTCTGCTTTCCCATCCAGTGCTTCTGTTTTAATATTTTAATTGTGAAATTTATTTCCATTTTGTATCTGTTAACATCTATCTTCAGTTTTGCTGTATGTTGTGTTAATTAGCACTTCTGTGCAAACTTCTGTTCAGTATAAGGTAAGTGCTCTTCTCTGATTATATTCCCTCAGATGGGTTGAACAACTAAGGAATACTGACAGTGGTTCAAAATTGTATCGTGCATCAGTTTGTAAAAAGAGCTTCTATGTCATTCCATCTTTCTGGATATAAGTTTTGATTAACAAATACTGTAAACCTGATAGGGTATAGACCAAACAGTTGTGACCTGATTGATGACTATGTGGCTTTGTTCTGGTTATTTCCCTGCGATATCTGCCTGCTTTCCTTACAAGAATCCTGCAGTGTGATTAACACTTCAAGCTGGTGAATACTTTGGCTCAGATCCAGATAACGCAAGTATTCACATAGAAGTTAATGAAATTATTCAACATGCTTCAAGTGAAGTACGAACTTTGCATGATCAAGGCTGACTTGTTCATCATTGCAGGGTTAAGTGTCAAGAGTATCCAATGTTTTCACGTATGAGGACGATGAGCAGTAAGTAGGGAAGTGAGCAGTGTGTATAAGGGAGTGTTTCTACTTGAAAACGTGAATTACCACATTAAGAGAGATCAGTGGTTGACCTAAATCGTGTCTAGTTTTTGAATACTAATGTTAGATAATTTAATTTAAAGGTAGATTCCATTGTATCCCTAAGTGGATGTTTCCAGCATTATTTAAAAAAATAATCATTCCTTATTCTGCATATTGATCTTTTTATACTCTGAAGGATGAAAAGTGCTAGTATGGGTACTAGAAAGCTGTATAATAATTCTATTTTGTAAATCAAGAAAAATTTAATTCCTATAATTTAATATTATTAATTTTCTTTAATAAGAAGTAAAATACACGTTGACAGAAAAGAGAACCTTCCACAAAGGGTATATGCTAGCCCAGTGCAATATATTGGCAATACTGTTAGAAAAGAGAAAAGATGTGTGAAAATTACATTCTCAGCTTGAATGTGGGTCTGCCAACAGATGAAGACAATGTTAGTCTAGAGTCTTCTATTGAGTCTGCTGCTGCCAGGCTTGAGAAATTTCAGTTCGGGGACTCAAATCCAGTGTGTCTCAGCTATGGCGGTAGCATAACTAGCACATGGAGTGCCTCAGACAGCAAAACAATGTGTTGAGGCTTTTGTGAATTGGTGCTAACATCTTGATTTATTGCTGCATGCATGTAGGTTAGTCTTCCTGTTAACAGGTACAGTGTATGCTATGAGTTTAGCATGGTAAAATATTTTGGTGGTCTCATTTTCTACCCAGCTATATTTTCAAAATCCTCTTCAAGTAACACTCTGTGTGGAACATGTGGCAATAATCCAGTACAGATGACACAGACATAGCACAGTGAGAAAATCCAGATCCCAGAGAGAAAGAGCTACAAGTGCCCAAGTAAAAAAGCTGTTAGTGTCATCTGACATTCCAGAATTGGACAAACCTAAATCTGTGAACAACTTGGAAAAAAAAATCTCTCAACACTTCGTTGACCTTGTCTGGGTTAAACCTCAACTAGTTTGTTCTCATGCAAAGCTCCTAGCCAGGCAGTGGGTAAGCAAATGTACTGCACCATCTGGGTCAGTGCTCAGAATACAGACTTGTGTGTCATCCATTGCATACAGATGGTGTTAGAGCCCACTGTCCCAGCTAGTGTCTTCATATACAGAGTCGGATGATAAAACAGAAATTACAGAGCTCTACAAAAGTAAGTAGTCGCATCTAATCTTAGAAATTAAATGGCCAACCTTAAGATTTTCTAAGCTTATTAATGTCCTCCAGGGTTATTTTCAAGAGAAACACTTTGCCTGAAGTGTTTATTTGCTTCCATGAAATGCATTTGGTTTTATTTTTGAAAACTCTTTGGCCTTCATGATACAAAAGAGTTAAATGAATGTCTAAGTGGCTTTCTGTACATACTTTACTATTGAAATACCTTTTTCTTCTGGAGCAAGTGGCACTAGTGTTTTTAATCTCTTGTGCAGAAGATTCAGGGTTGTTGAAATTATAGCTGACTCAGTTTTATAAGTACAAACAACAGTGTGCAACAGAGAAAGCTAGCAGCTCAAAGACAAGCAGGGACTGTGCCAGCCTGCTCCTCCCAGACATTTTATAAATCATGCATACTCCTAGTAGAATTATTTATGAAATGTTTATGATAGCACTGTATGAAAAGAAATAAACCTGGGTAAAGCTGTCTCCTGTTAAATTTTACTGCAGAACTGCTGGTCTGAATCTGTGTGTCATGGTCTGTTGTCTAATTTGTTAGCTGTCACTCAGCTGCAACCGAAATCTCTTTGAATTCATTTTTTACTGTCTTCAGAATGAGCAAAAAAGGCATGTTCACTTAGCCCTGATTTCTTGTCATTTGACATACTAGAATAATGTCAGGATGCATAGAACTTACCTTTTTTGGTTTTAAGAAAAAAAAAAATGCTAACTGCATTACGGTACCTGTTTGTTTCCCAAACAGAAAAGAATGGCCCTGATTTTCTAGGACCAGAGGTTTTTGCATGTCGACGGCCCTGCTAGCAATGGCAGTCATTGTATGAATGATTACTGCAGTTAGACTTACAGGAGTTTTAGCTGCGTTGCTATAAATGAATACCAAATCTTTTTTTGTTCGTCCAGTTACACGTTTCTCTATAACTGCATGTACAGGTACACTCTAGCTTTTCTCCTCTATCTCTGTGTGTGTGTGTGTAAATATAGAGAGACTTTTTTTTTTTTTTTTTTTGAGGGCTCCAGGATGGTTTCTATAGTAACTAAATTAGAAATTAATTCACCAGAAGAAAAAAAATAATCACAAAACATTGCTTTATATAGTAGGGAACTTTTTTTGTATATTCAGATTTCATGCCACTATTAATAAAACAAAGTTAAACTTTGTGCACAGATGATGGGTATTCATCAGTCTGTGGGTGGGTGGTGATTGTGGAAGAAGCGTTTTGATGGTTGAGCTCAGTGTACCAGTAACTTCTCCATATGGTTTAATATACAGTATTTGTATTTTCCTGGCACATCTTCTGTGGTAATAATAATAATCTGTTGTAACAAAGATTGTGATGTCCATCTTTGGTAACTGTTCCCTACATATGAAAGCTGTGCATGCAAACAATATACTATAATGCAGGCATTCATGTGCATGAAGTCTTGCTGCAAACTGTTAAGGATAATTGTTCTATTTTTAACTCCAAAAGAAACACAGTATGTTTATTCTCTGCTGTGTATTCCTGAAGCTTTTCATTCTGTGGTCTGAGTAATCAGGGTCAAATTAAGGTAGCAGCATCCACTGGGAGTCAGACGCTGAGAGAGTGCAGTGATTTCACTTTAATTAGCCATTGTTCATACCAGGTGTGACTGGGTGCTGGCAGGAGACTTCTGCTGTGCAGAACTGCAAGTTCTGGACACTGAGTAGTTGAAGAATAAAGTCTAAGTTTAGTGCTGCAAGGCTCTAGAGGTAGTTCTTATTATAGCATGGTGATAACCAGTGGGTGCTTCCTCTGTTGCTCTCCCTGCATAGCAGGTTCTTTCCCTAGTTGTGTTTCAGGTTGAGAGTTACGTCTCTCTGTCTTACCAGAGAAAAGTTGTTTCTGAAAAGGAGAGCAAGGTGCAAGGGCTGACTCTGTTTTGGGATTCTGTACAACCAAAGCCATACAGGTGAATTTGAGATGTAGGAAAGAAGGTTGTTCTGAAGTCCCTAATATACGGGACTGTTGAGGGGGGAAAAAAGGCAACATGCCTCAGCTTTCCCAGAAGCTGGGCAATTGTATCAAGGAAGTTTGCCTCAATTGTTTTTATACCTTCCCTTAGACATACATTACTGGTCACTGTCAGAAATATGGTACTGAGTGAGTATATGGGATTTTCTTTTGATCTGATACAGCCACCTCTTGTTTCTCTCCCAGCTCCTGAAGTGTAACCTTAGCATTAATGATTCCCATGACTTGAATTAAAATTAAACATTTGTTACAGATTTTAATGTCTCTGATAGAGAAAACTGGATATATATCATCAAAGGGAAAAACGAAATCCTTAGGGTGGTCTGAACCTATTC